TTCCCAGACCAGGCACCCCCTCTGGTGTGTCAGCTGGGAAAACTCAGTGGTACCATGCAGAGAACGGGGCAATCACTCCCTGAGCTGGATGTTACCATCTACTAAGGAAATCTGAGAAGACATCCCTTCCCTGGGCATGTGTGTCATAGGGTGCACACACACATAGAAGAGAAACTTCAGTCACTCACTTCCCAAGCCCTAGTTTTCTTATCCAAAGAGAGGAGAAATATCTTTGCTGTGAGAATCAACCAAGATTAGGGACACAAAAAAACATTAAAAGCACAAATCTCTACACTAAAGGTCATGTCCCTCCCCGCAACCCCCATGCAATTTTAGACAGTGGCCAGGCATCATGGCCATGGAGCCAGATAGGATGGGTCTGAATTCCAGCTTTGCTATTTGCTGGCTGTGTGTCTTTGGAGAAATGACCTGACATTGCTGTGCTGCAGTTGCCTCCCCTGCGGCACAAAGATAATGATAACACCGATCTCCGAATGCATTTTTATGAGCATTAAATGTATTGCCTAGCACACCATGTTGGCTGTTTGGAATTACCCCAACTTACTCCTTCATAAGGAGATACAGCCTTCACTGAAATTAGGCTAGCACATTGCATGGATTTTGCAAAGTGAGGGCATCAAACCAAATTGGTCGTGCTACTGGAGCGAGTTGCTCCAAGTCCTCTTCCCACTATTTGTAAGCAACGATTACGAACTAAGTACTGTGCTGAGGGTTGGGGAAAGGCACCAGCTCTTTTAATTACCCTTTTCCCCCAGAGAAGTGGCAACTACTCTTATTCCCACTGTGAAGACAAGGAGTGAAGGTGTAGGAGGTTAAGTAACAGTACCACTAGAAAACGACAGAGGCAGGCTTGAACCCCAGTCCACCGACTTCCAAAGCCCATCTGAATCATCAGTGTTCCATCCTCCAAGCAGCTTCCTGATTGGGCCCAGCTCCAGTTCCAGGCCCAGCAGAAGCCCGAGCGGCTTCCTTGACAGTACCAGTGACTCTGCTTCTCTCTCCCAAGTCCGCCCCCCTCCTCCTTCCAAGCCCTAAAGGTGTCACAGTGCATCCCAGCTGCATTTCCCAGGTCCCCCCAGAATCCCCCTGGCATCAAGGAATTGGTGGGTTCTCATCTCCTCATGAAATGGTTCCACACTGATCTACCAAAAAAACAAAACCAAACAAAAAACAGCTATTCTGGACGCAGGCCTTGACGCGTAATATCATTACAGAGCCAGCAGTGCATCCCATCCCATTATCGCCTGGCCAAGCTTCTCCGAGTGAGCCTGGCTGCAAATGGCTTTCTCCTGTCTGGGGGGGCCACAGCCCTATCTGCCCTCCACTGTTGGAGGAGAGATTTTATCTTTAATTGACAACTGGCTGCCTGCCACTGCCTTGCCTCCGCTGCTGGCCAGGCTCCGAGCCGATTTTCTCCCCTGCTTGAGGAACAGGCTTCCCTTGGTTTTTTCCTCCCCTCGGCCCTGCGATCCTCACCCTCCTGTTGGGCGCTATCCCAGACAGCTCACAGTGTGCTCTTGTCCTTCCTCAGTGTGACTGGATATGGAGATTTTGGAAATCTGCAGAGAAAAGCCTAAGAGCTGCAGGTCAAGAGTGAAGGGAGACAGGAACACTTACTGTGCATCTACTCTATGTCATACGTGGACACATGGCATGTGCCAGGTTCTGACACTGCCTCTAAAGCAGGTGCTGTCATCTTTACCATCTTATGGGTGGGGAAACTGAGGCTTAGAGCACTGTTTCCGAGTTACCCAGCTAGTAAGTAGCAGACCAAGACTGAATGGGGACCCCTGAGTTTATGCCTAGAGTGAGAAAGTGAGGACACAAGAGAGAGACAAACTTGCACCCAGATATGGCTGCATAGTTCGCAGTTTGGTATGAATGAAATTGTACAGCCCCTTGTTCAACAGTTCCACAAGAGCAGCACCTTCTAAGCATTTCACCCCAGGCTGCAGCCCATAAAGCCAGCCCTGTGTTGACCCTAGGTGAGTGAGAGGGACAAGTGTTGGTCCTGGACTATGTCTGACCGTTACCTACCATTTGATCTTCCTATCTGGGTCCAGGTTGGACTCTTAACTGGTCCCTGGTTGGCCTCAGTCCATTAGCCGGCCATCCAGACATCACAATGAATGGCATCCCCAGGGTCTTGTCCCACTTAGAACTGATGGAGCTGCAGGGAGGAGGGAGACCCCCCTGCACAAACCAGCAGGAATGCAGTGGAGTTCCTTCAACAAAAAAAAACTTCTGCTTTGTGGGGGATGAGGTGAGGGAGTGCTTGGGAGTCAGAGACCTTAAGTTAGTCCCCTTGGTGTGGCCTCTGGCAGATCCCTTTCCTCTGAGCATTCACCTCTAACTGTAAAATGCAGGGCCTCGCTGCACACACGATTCCTGGTAGAGTGAGGTTATGCTTAGATGTGCTGCCTTGCCCGGGTGTTGGGAGTGGAAGCCAGGGAAGTCCCCACAGACCCAGAGCCAGAAAGAAGAGACAGAGGCAGAGACTCAAATAGAGGAGCAACAGGACACTCTGATGTCTTTATTGGGGCTCGAGCACAGCATGACAGTTGAAGGCATGCGGACAGGGTGTCAGGGCCTGGCCTAGGCATGCCTCAGACACACACGCGAGGACAGCTTTAAAAAAGGACTGACCAACAGCAGGGAGGGGCCAGGAGGGAAGGGAGGGCTGAGGGAGGGGCAGAGGCCAAGGCTGAAGGGGTCACCTGGCCTCTGCTATTGCACGCATCCTCTGGCCACTGGCCAGGAAGTACAGTATTGCAACTGGTCTCCTCTCGCCCAAGGCATCCCCTTCTCAGACCCCTGAGCCCGATGGGCAGACAGACCCCTTCCCTGCCCATCTGCCCAGCAGTATCTTTGAAAGCAAACAGACGAAGGAGACAGAACAAAATAATTAAAAATGAAAACAATAAATGCCCCCCTCCATCAAGGACACAGGGGTGCTAGAAGGAGTGGAAGAGTCTGCAGAGGAGCCTCTGGAAGTCCCCCCACAACTAGGATGTGGGGTAGGAGGTAGAAACCCAATCTGGGGTGGGGTTGGGTTAGTGGAACAGTGACCCTGGGGGGCAGTGTGGCCTTCAACAGACTTCAACGGCCACTTCCTAACAGGAGAAACACCCTAGGAGAGAGTAGCTGGGCAGTTCTCAGGAGGACTTCTCCTGGGACATTTCACACATGGTCAGAAGAAACAAGAAACCTGTAAGGGGAAAGGAAACTTGGGGTAGAGAGCTTGGGGAGACATAGCCTAACAAACATGACAGACCACCAATAGCACGTGCACTACACACAAGAGTATAGTATGTATGAATATAGATACTATATGTGCATATATATCTCTTCAATGTACAATAGAACAAAACATCAGACCCAGATGGCTCTGGGCCCCAAGGGTCACATGGGAGGTTTTCCAACAGTCCTGTACAAACAAGGATATCAGTGTCTTTCTCAGCGAAAGATTCGTGCTTGGGTTCCAGAGTTTCCCTACGCCTCTGGCTTTCTGTCTGTCTGCCTGTCTCTCTCACGTTGGTGCCGCTTTAAGAGAGGGTGAGGACTTCAGCCTGGGCATAGTTGGACGAGAGGGCGTCTTGGCAGGTCTCTGTGTTTAAAGAGCACAGGTGTGAGACACTGGGACGCACGCTTTCGGCTCAACATTGCCTTCTGGGGGGGCAAGGAGTTCAGCAAAAGAAAGGGAGAAACAAAGAACAAGATGTTAGAAGGAGGCCAGCCACTGACCCACAGGCTGTGGGTTGAGGAGCAAGCCAGGAGCAGAGCTGGAAGGCATGGGGAACCGAGGGCTAAGAGGCCAGGAAGAGCAGGGGTGGGTCAGGGAATGGGGTGAGCCCTTCATCATCCATCTGCCAACCCAGCTTTGGGCTAATGGGACTTGGGTCTCTCCATGCCTGCTCAGGTAACCACGAGCTCTAAGAACTACTCTCAAGTCTTCAGAGCTCCAATACAGTGAGAGAGGGTCTATACTCTACAGCCTAGCAGGGAGGTGATAAGGAAAATTCCCGACATGGAGTATGGCTCAAGGACCATCACCCCAGCTACGGCCTGCCCAACTTGAGCTCTCCCCAAAAAACTCCATCTGGAGTACCCCACTGTCTCAAAGCGCTGGGAAAGAAGGTAGAAACTATGGAGCCATGTCCTACCAAGCCCTCATTCTCAATATGACAGAAGGAATCTCAGCACAGAGGACTTGCAGCTTCAGGTTAGAGAGGACATTCAGGAGAAGGGGGCTGGCGAGTGGTATTTTACCAAGAGATTCAACCCCCCAGAGGGCCCTTGCTGGTCCCTCATCTTCAACCTGGAACATCTGAAGCTTCGGTCCTTTCCTCCCCTGCTTGCTAGCAGCAGCAGGGCAGCCAGAGAGGCTGGGCTAACAGCACAGGTGGGAAGCTCAGCCTCTCCAGGAAGATGCTGTGACAACCCCTGCAGCTATTAGATGTGGCCTCCAGACCTCACAGCTTCTGTCCTGGATGTCCTTCTCTGGGGAAAGAGTTCTCAGTTTAGAGTGACAATTTTTATCTCCTTAAGACTGTGGGCCCCAGCTACCCTATAAATACTGCCCCTTGGCCCACGGTGTTTTTGAAGGAAGCCAGAGAATCTTATTTTGAGGACAAGCAGAGGGAACTGTGGTCTTCCCAAGTACTCCTAACACTGCCCTGTCTTTGTAATTTGAGCCACACCCAGCCACTGGTCCCGCTTAGCTAGGGAAAGGGGAGTGCCACTGCATTCCCTATAGACCATGAGATCCTAAGACACTGGTAGGAAGGCCTGAGATACCACAGGGTCTTGGCCAGGGTGATAGGGAACAGAAAAGAGGCATTCTGAGAGGACAGAATAGCCTCTGGTGGATTTTCTTTTTTCAGTACTGGAGATCAAACCCAGGGCCTTAAACATGCTATATCCCCAGCTCCTTTTGTTTTTTGAGACATGGTCTCACTAAGTCACCAAGGCTGGACTTGAACTTGTAATTCTCCCGTCTCAGCCTCCAAAGTAGCTGGGATTACAGGCATATGCCACCATGCCTGGACTTAGGTGGCTTTTTCATTGGCTTTCATGGTCTCTACATCTTTGGGGACCTTTAAAAGTTGGGGGTCTTCCCGGGAATCTTGTTTTAGAACCTACTTATGTGAACCAACAGGAGTGGGACAGGGTTGTCAGAGGGTGACCCTGGTCAGGATGGAGGAGGTTCTGCGCTCGTGGGTGCTCCGTGAAGGGCAATCCAGGCCCAAAGGTGCCTCCTAGAGTCTAGGGCTAGGCCCTCCCCCTGCCCTCCAGTTCCTGTCAGCCATAGGGTTATTGTCACTTGCCTCCAGTGGCACCTCACAGCCACTTCTCTCAGGAGCCTGGGGGCTAAGGTAGTCCTGGTACAGACGGTGAGGTGAGGCTAAAAGCCCCTGTAGGAGTTGCCTCCCTGCTTTGTGGGAAGAAGGTGAGGCCCAGCTGTAGAGAAAGGTTTCTAAAAACTGAAATACTGGGTGCAAGCCCAAGTCCAATCCAAGAGAAAGCAAATTACACTCCCAGAGTGTGGGTGGGAGAAAGGCTTCTCTCAAGAAGGGATGCCCAAGGCCTGGGTGGGGGCTGGAAGCACAGATAGGCCTGGAGTACACGAGGGCTCTAGAATTCCAGGACCCACCCTTTCCCAAGGTCCTAGAAGGCCCAGGGGTCTTGAAAGGTAGCTGGGGGCAGGCCCCAGGCACAGCACTCCCACCAGCTGGACCTTGTCTCTCCTCTACGAAGACACAGTTGGGCAGGGTTATGGGAGCCCCTCCCCCAAGCATGAGGGGCTCCAGCCTGGCACTTCTGCATCTCGTCGCCCAGGGACATCTGTGCCCCCCACCGGGGTGCCATGAGCATGCCCATCCTTGTAGGAGGGAAGAGGGGAGGAGGCGGTGGGTGCCGTGGAAACCTGGGCTCCTGACAATTTGAGGGCTGCCACAGAAATAGCCGCCTCAGCTCCCTGAACCACAGTGGCAAGTCAGCGGAGAAGATAGCTGTGGTACCCAAGCTAGTGGAACACCTAGTTTGTCATGTCCCCCATTAGACTCCACCCAGGACCCCCGTGCTGGGAGCTCTGGGGCGTAGGGTTGGACATGTTGCTGGGAAGCTGGGCTCTCGGGCTCCACTTCAAGGGAGAAGGTGCCAGCGTCTTCATCCTCCCCACAGGCTGTCCCACCCCACCACTTAAAGGGGCCTGTCCCCTGCTGAAGGGCAATCGCATGGATGCCCCTGTATCATCTCAATTCTTATGCGTCACTTCATTCTAAGAGGAAGTGACAAGGCCCACACACCATAGCTGGGCTGGGGGACCCAGTGTGGTACCTACCTACCGAGCAGGCCTGTCTGGCAAGCACATCCTGTCACTGCTCAAAGCTGATGAAGGCACTGAAATGGCAATGTCCCTGGCACAGGCTTTCCACCACACCTTAACCCCAGGAAATAACCTGATCCTCTTTCCTCCTGGCCACCTTTTGGGGTGGCCCCCAGATTATCTAGCGTCCTGCCAGGTTTCTAAAAGCTGTCTTGCCATGCCTATCTTTGCCACCCTGGAGAGAGTAGCTACGGACCCTCCTTAGTCACTCCTGCTACAAAGTTGCATAATCTGACTCTAAAAATTGCCAGGCGTAGGGCTCTGCTGTCAGGTCTAATTCCCTTCAGGTGAAACAGGAACTGTCTCGGCTGAGGCCTTGGCTCCGGGGTCCGGGTGGAGGAGGGCCTGCTAGGGGAGGGCTGGCTGGCAGACGTGGGCCTCCCTGGGAGCCGCGGGAGCAGGTGCGGGCAAGGTGCTTCTGTCTCCTCACTTCCCCTCAGCTGTCCCTGCGCAAGGTGTACCCCTGTTCACCCAATGACTCACAAACCTGTTGTGCTCCCGGGCTTGTTAGGTAAATGAATACACTTAATTATAGAAATTAGATGAGTCTCCGGTTCTGGCAGGAATACAGAACGCAGAAGCTGGGTGGGAGTGGCAGGTGACTCAGAGGCAGGGCTGGGAGTCTGAGCGAGCTTGAGAGAGAGGAACACTATCTTGGAAGCACAGGAAGCAGTGCGGAGAGATGCTGCAGTGCGGGTCGCAGATGGGAGGCTGGGCACCACCACTGGGTGTCACCTGCTCAATTTGGGCGCAGGTCCCCAGAGAGGAGGGCCTCCCGCACCTTGGCAGCCACCCATGGCCTACACCGAGCTTGAGGCTTCAAGTCTAGGAGCTCCCACCTGCACCCCAGGCTAGAGGGGGAAAACATCAGGTCCCTCTCCCAGGGCGGCACTGGCTATGGGCACTGCTCCTTTGAGGAATCAAAGCCCCCTTATGCCAGCGAAGGTTTCCCACATGACAGCCTTGTTCCTCACTGGTCTCGTGTGCAATGGAGAGACAGACAGACAGATAGGCTGTTTGGTTACTGGTTAAAGGCCACTAGGAATGGAAATGCATTTGCTGTGATTAAAAATATTCACACAGGCATCGTTTCCCAGCAAGGCTGACTGGTCCCAGGCACACGGTGTGCCACTCCTGGCCCAAGGATCCTGAGGGGAAGCAAGGCATGGGTGTGCCAGCACCTATGGCTCAGGAGACCTTGAGGGGGAAGGGCAGGGGAGGAGCCCCGGGAGTAACCCCTCCTCTCTGCCTTCAGGGTCCAAAGCTGAATGCGTTGAGGAGCACCCAGCTCAGGGACCTGGATTCTCCTCCAGCTTCCTTCCTTTGCTCCCTCAGGCCCCAGGAGGGAAGAGGGCTGGGAGGGCAGCTGATGTGCTCATTTTGGTGTGTCCCTCTGCCCAGAGGAAAGCCAAGGGTGCAGCTAAGGGGCTGAGGGGCCAGGTGGGGGGCTGGTGAGCGGGTGGAAGGGATGGGACAGCAGGAGCTTTCTTGGAGGATAGGGCGAGCTGTACCGCGACGCCAGTGGAGACAGCCCCAGACTGGTTCCAGCCGCTCCGGCTATGTTGTTTAGACTCCGGGACTTTGCGCAGCCTTGGTGAAGAAAAGGCACACGGGTCAGAGGGGCACAGCTCCTCACCAGGACAGCTCCATGGAATCCACGCTCCAAGATGGCCCTGAGCCAGGGCAGATGGGCCTGGCCCTCCTGGGAGAGGCTCTGCGACTCTCCTAGTGCTCTGTGTCTCCTGGGTTCCTGAGGACAGACTCCAGGGCCCCACACCCAGCTGATCTTTATTTTGCTCTATCTCCAGATAAGTTCCCTTCAAACTCCTGATAACCCAGCTGCACAGAGACCCTGCAGCCTGCAGCACCCACCTTCCCTACCCTAAGAAGCACCTGCCACATGTCTCCAGGGAGCTGACACTGATGCAAGGGCGGCCCCAGGTCGATGATGGGGTCTGTGCGGATGGCTGGAGGAGGCCAGACCCACTCACTCTTGATCCTAAATGTAGCTCAGCGCAGAGAGGTGTGGCATGGTACCGCGTGGGGAAAGTTGAGTGCGCACTGGGAGTTTGGCGATGTTAATTGCCAAGCCTGCTTAGCTGGGCCTGTTTCCCAGCAACCCACCTGTTCCCTCTCGAAGGTCACTCTAATTGGCTGAGCTACACGCTTGTTGCCAAGAAGCAGTGTGGAGGCATCTTGAAAATAGAGCATCTGGGCCCCCAGGCACCCCAGAGAAACGGGGTGGTGGGACACGGGCTTCCCTGCCCCAGGCATGTGCACATACACCCCTTTTTGTAGGTGCAACTGTCCCCAGTGACTCAGAACCCTCTGTACTTGCCCCTCACAGCCTCTTTAACATCTCTGCTTCCACTGAGCTCCTCACAGATGTCTGCTCAAGTCACCCCACATTCTAGCGCTGTCTATTTATCAGGCTTCAGCTAGAGCAAGACTCTGGGTATACAAAAGCGGATGCAGTGGAGCCCCCGCATGTTTGGGGTAGAGGTCAGGAGAGAAGAGCATGTTCTGGGCTTAAGACTGGGGCACCAGGGTGATAGGTGAAGGTATACAAGTTCTAAGCACATTCCATCCGCAGCCATTTAACTAAGGCCGCTGAACCATCTCCTTCCAGGAGGTAGACTGTTGCTGCTGCTTCTGCCACCCAAGACACATACCCTGGCAGTCAAGGTATCCTGGGGATTGTGTGAGACCAGTGGTGCTGTCTGGGCAGAGATGGAAGGGCCTGAGAAGTTATCCCCGTGCTGGTGGAGCAGCGAGTGTCCATGTTTAGGTGGCCAGAGACATCACAGGCTGTGTTTGTATTAGCCACTGCCCGCCCCTTACTCAGCCCAGTATGGGTCTGCAGTTTGGGGCACAGTGGGACGTAGGGAGTGGAAAATCTGACTGGCTGAGAAGTGGCCAGAGAACTTGGGGAGAAACTTCGTTTGTGGGCGAGTGCTGGAACTAGGTAGATTTTAGGGAGCTTAGTTCACAGGAATAGGAGAAAAAAGAGCTTTGTTTTGGAAACTGGGCAGGAGTAGTGTCTGGTCTTAGGTACACTGGGCTTCACGCACCCCTGATCACTTCTGCTGCCCTTTTCCAGGCCAGCAATCCCTAGCACCATCGCCCCACTTCCATCCTGCTCCTGCCATGGGCTTGCAGCCTGGTGATGGAATTCCAGTCTTCAGTGACAGGCAGGGAATGAGCTGCTCCTATGAACTCTCCAAGTCCTTCCGAACACTTCTCAGAGGGGACCCGCTGTCTATTCACCCAGCCCCTGGTTACCTCTGGCTCTCTCTTGAAGGGACAGTCACACCCAAGGTACTTGTAGATCTGGGTCAGCCCACCCTAGTTCCAGGCCCCATGTGAAAGACAGGAGGAATGGGGCACATGTGGGGCTCTCTGAAGACCTGGCAACTGACTCCTGATGGCTGTGGGAATCTCTGGGGACAACTTCCTTGGAAAAGTCTTAGCTAAAATCAGAGGAGTCCTAGCTGGGCGTGGTGGTACGTGCCTGTAATCCCAGCACTGGGGAGGCTGAGGCAGGAGGACTGCCACAAGTTCGAGCCAGCCTAGGCTATAAAGTGAGCTCGAAGCCAGACTGAATTACATAGTGAGACCCTGTCTCAAAAAGCAAAACAAAACAAAACAAAACGTTCAAGGGGGTCCTGAGGAGAGACTGGCAGTGACCCATGGCCTGGGCATGAAGGTAGCAGCCAGGCCCAGAGGCAGAGAAGGTACTGAAAATGGGCAGGAGAGGCCGGGCCTCTGACTCAGTGTCCCTTTAACCCTCTAGCACTGGGTTTCTCTGTGGGGACTTTCTGGGGAGGATTCTATGGACCCTTTTGGGGTGCTAGGGGCCTTTTTGATTCAGAGACTACACGATCAGGGTACCTGCCCTAAAAGCGGGGACGCATCCAAGGCAGAGGAGATGGTGACCATGGGCTCAGGGGAGGGGGAGACTTCAAGCTCTGCGGGGAGGGTTGGAGACACTCAGCTCTCTGGGGGCTCCCCACCTGCCCAGCCCGGGAAGCCATACCTTTCCGGACACTGCCATCAGCACAGGCATAGTCCCCAGCACTGAGCAGGAAACAGGCAGCCGCCTTCTTGTTTCTGTCTCTTGTGCCAGAGCGTCGCAAGGCCCGGCGCTCTTCGGGGGTGGGGGCAGAGGCCAGGGGCTGGGTGAGTCCAGCTCCCTCCTCGTCAGACAGCACCACATTGGCATCGCCGTTCTGCTTAGAGTCTGGAGGGAGCAGACAGAAAGGACGCTGTGAGGGGCTGCCTGGGCTTTCCTCCTGGGGCCACCTGAGGTCTCTCGGAGCCCAGACCCAGTGTCTCACTTCTCCAACCCAAGGAAGGCCCTAGTATCCCCGGGAGGAAGGGGATCCTAGGGGCCAGGGCCCAGGGTGGGAGGCTGTGCTGTGTGCAGGTGGCTCCCCCCAGCCTCGGCACGGTCCTCCCTGGGTGTGCGGAACACAGCGCAGACACCCTGCAGCAGGATTCCCTAGCTCTGCCTTCTGCCCCATGAGATCAGCCCAGGCTGGCAGCAGACTCGACTTCCTTCTCGGGTCTGGCTCAAGCTGGCCTTTCGATGAGTTTGCATTCCTGCAGAGAATTTCCTGGCTTGCTGGGGGTGAGGGCTGGCACCACGAGCGTGGAACCTACACAGCGGTGTCCACTGCCTTCACCCTCCACCCCTTACATAGTTGTTCTTATTCACAGGCACCTAGGTGCCCAAAGGACTTGCAGCCCTCTGCTTGCGGGGCTCTCCTGTGTCAGGGGAGGACACTGTGCAGGAGAAGCTCTAATTGCTCTCCACTGCTGTGGCTCTGAGCCCAGCCCCGTGCCTTGGTCAGGCATCACCGGAGAAGACGGCCTACCTGGTCTGAAGACAGTGGCCTGGGCATGGCCAAGCAAGGCCTTACAGTGGTGAGCATTCTAAGCAGGCAAAAAGCACAGCTGACAAGACCAGCTAAGGACCTCTACACTTAGACAGAGGATTCTGAGTCCTGGACAAGCCCAGAGAGCAGCTGAAACCCCCCAGGAGACCTATGCTCAGAGACGGGGAAGGGGCGCCACTGTGGGGAGGAGCACAGCCTGAGGGCTGCTCTTCTGGCAGGTCCTCTATCAGGGAAGACCAAGAGCTCAGTGACCCCAGGGAGTGGGTGGCCCAGGTCTGTACAAGGCACACATGCCTAAGGGCTACAGGCGAGTGCTCTGACTTGGGTACCTCCCCTTGAGAATTAGTCCCACTTTGTCCCAGAGCTTAGCCAGGAGCTGCTGCCGCAATTTTGTGGCCATCCCAGCCCCTGGGGACCTGGCATACAACAGCCCTCTATTCCAGGCATCCCACCCTCCCTAGAGCCCGCCCCATCCTAACAGCTGGTGACTTACCTGACCTCTGGCCTAGCTCTATGTTGCTGGGCAATGGGCCGACCTCCCTCCCTGGCTCCTGACCCAGATGGAGTACGCTTTTTCAGGCTGGCTTCTCCAGTCCCTGAAGGACAGGACTTGACGCCCAAGCCCCTCTTCCAGGATGTGGGCCCCAGTCTCTTCCACTTCCAGCCCCTCCCCACTCGGTTCCCTTCCATCTCATGTCAAACCCTGAGCCCAGGACTCAATCTAGCTGGTGCTGAACAGAAGGCAGCCTCCCACTGCTGTTACGTTATCACATTTTTTAGGCCAAGAGACACCAGACTCAAACGTTGGGAAAGAAATGATTCATATGTTGATGCACCTTGGAAGAACAGCTGCCCTGCTCTCTGGCTAATAATGACAGAGCTTGACATTAGCAAAATGGTTGTAACTTCTCAAAGTATTTTCATATCTATCATTCATGCGGGTTTCATGAGCATCTTGGAGATATGATATTGATATATCGTTCCCATTTTGCAGGAGAGAAATCCATGCCCAGAGGGTGAGGGGCTGGCCTCAGGGCAAGAGCACATGACCAAGAAGGAGTAGAAACTAAAGCTTCTATCACACAGCTCCATGCACTGTCCATCACCGCCTACACTGCACAGAAGATTCACTCCACAGACCTTGAAAGTCAGAGAATAGAGAAACTCAACCATTGATATTTTGCCCTCATAAAAGCACATCTTAAATTTTGGGAAGCCAGCACATTAAAGCACAGCCCTAAATTCCAAGGGCCGAGGTTCACCCGGTGGGACTCCCACAGCCACTGTGGGAAAGGGGTCCATCTTCCTTCCCAAGCCCTACTCACCTGCCCGCTTCCTCTCAACCATTCCCTCCTCCCGGGCAGGCGGGCTGGTATCACTGTAGGTGCTGTCCCGGGGAGAGGTCTCCTCAGACTTGCAGTAAAGGGGTGACTCAAGCTGGGTGGGCCGAGGCACATGCTTCTTTCGTTTCTTGGGCAGCTTCTGCTTGGCCATGGCCAGGGAGTAGTACATGCCAAAGTTGTTGACGATGACTGGCACGGGCATGGCAATGGTGAGCACGCCGGCCAGGGCACATAGCGCCCCCACTAGCATGCCCGACCATGTCTTGGGGTACATGTCCCCATACCCAAGCGTTGTCATGGTGACCACGGCCCACCAAAAGCCAATGGGGATGTTCTTGAAGTCGGTGTGGTCATTGCCCCGTGGGTCGGAGGGCCTGGCGCCAATGCGCTCAGCGTAGTAGATCATGGTGGCGAAGATGAGCACGCCCAGGGCCAGGAAGATGATGAGCAGCAGGAACTCGTTGGTGCTGGCACGCAGAGTGTGACCCAGGACCCGCAGCCCCACAAAGTGGCGTGTGAGCTTGAAGATCCGCAGGATCCGCACGAAGCGCACCACACGCAGGAAGCCTAGCACGTCACGGGCTGCCTTGGATGACAGACCGCTCAACCCGACCTCCAGGTAGAAGGGCAGGATAGCCACAAAGTCAATGATGTTGAGCAGATTCTTGACAAAGTCCAGAGTGTCTGGGCAACACACAATGCGCACCAGGAATTCCAGTGTGAACCACAGCACACACACGCCCTCGATGTAAGTCAGAATGGGCTCTGTCTCCACCTCCCGCCGGAAGCGCACGCTGGTGATGTTCCCCACCCGGTGGATCTCTGTCACATTTCGGTCAATGTTGAAGGCCTCATGGGTCTCCAGGCAGAAGGTGGTGATGGAAACCAGGATGAAGAAGAGAGAGGCAAAGGCCACCACCTGTGGGTGGGGAGAAGCACAGAACAGCTGTCAAGGCAGGGATGGATGGGCTCCAGGGACCTGTGCTCATGGAGAGTGGGCACACAGGCTACCAGGCAGTCTGTGAGATGAAAGGTGGGATTAAGATAGAGTCTAGGGCTGGAATTCTCTCCGCAGGGGGCCTCTCCCCCTCTGCTCAGGTGTTCTAGGATAATACTAATTTTTGTAACAGCACACAGAAGAGAGACTGTGCTTGGCTGGAAACAACAGGTCAGGGAACTGCAGCTGCCTGGCCCTGCCTATGCCAGCTCTGCCCACGCTGACCCATTGCGCTTTAAGGGTTCTCTAACTGTAGTTGGTGTACAAACCAGCTCAAGTCTTCCTCCAATGTGATTCTCATTCAGGAGGTGTAGGGCAGGGCCTGCAATTCTGCTGTGCTCACCAGCTCTCAGGTGAGGCTTTGTCCATAGACCATAGCTGGAGTGACCAGGCAGTGGTCCTCAAAGTCAGGTCCTGGACCAAAAGCATCAGGTCCCTAGAAACTGATTAGAAATGCATTTTCAGTCCCACTCAAACCTAATGATTAAAAAATATCGGGGGTCCAGGGTCCAGCAATCTTAGTAAACTTTCCAGGTAATACTGACGCACATTCAAATTTGAGGTCCACTGCTTTTAGAGGTGTTCTGAGGCAGGGGGCCACAAAGAATGACCTGGACCTCCACTGGCAGAGCCTATGAACCACAGCTCCAGTCACGAGCCATCTCGAGCCACGAGTCTCAGTGCTTCTCTCCTGCCTCTCACCTCAGGGTGTCCTTGCTGACTGACCACATGGTGAGGAACGTCCTAAAAGAACACAGCGTGCACCGTGCCAGGAGATAGTGGTCTGCCAGAATAACCAGCTACCGATTCTGATAGCTGCTGGGATCTCAGCTAGACTGATGATCGCAGCACTTATCAGGGGAATGGTGAGGCTTAAGTGTCTAATGATTATGAATGGAGATGAAATACATGTGTAATAACATCAATTATGAAACCTTCATCTGCTATTCATGACATGCCATCTAGCACCATCAGCACGCCTGTTGCTGGGGTCTAGACTCTGGCTCCTTACCGCTGCCTGTCCCACTTAGTAGCTGAGCTGGGCTCCCTTCTGGAGCAGAATGCTGAGCTTAAGTAGGTGGTGAGGAAGAGCTGTGGCCCCACGATCATTTGGCAAGTCCCAGCCTGTCCTGTCCCAGTTTCCACCTGGTCATGGTCTTACCCCTGTCCAGTGGGGACTGAGAGAGGTTTTCCTCCAGGGCAGTCTATACCAGGAGGGAAGCGGGGAACCACCTGTTCTATGGGCTGCAAAACACCTTGGCAGAACACTGGGGATCCCGGAAAATAAACCAAGAGTCCCTCCCAGGTTAGGGAACAACCCCTCATTAATGTCTTCCTTCACTTCTGCGTTTTTTAACAGCTCTAAATACACAACTAAATACACAACTGTCCCGAGTGTGACCCCAAGGTTCCAAGTTCCGCACCAAGGCCCAGATGTTTCCTTTCGCTCCTAAACTACTCCCCAGGGCCTCGGGCACAGGAGCAAGTTTTAGGAAGGAACTTGGGCCACAGGCACTCATCGGCTGCCTAGCCTATGCCTGGCACCTTTAGGCACTTTATGGACCACTGCCTTCAACCCTCCCAGAGACCTGGGAGAGGAGCTTCACCATCCCTTTTTATGAAGGAGAAACTGACAATCAGGAAAGTTACTTATCTCAGGGCACACAATGTAGAAGACCAAAAACCAGGTTTGAATTGCTGCTTCACTTGAGAGTCTACACCGTCCCTTCACGCTACCCTGTCTTTAGGACCCCCTGAGTAGGATCAATTCTCAGGTAGGAATGCGAGCTCTGAATTAAGCCTGTTCCCAGTCAGCTAGCTCCCTGATCCTATTTTACCCCTAGGAATGTGTTCCCTTAGGGCTTAGGACAAATCTCCCATCTCACAGGACAATGTAGCTCAACTTAGACTTCAGCTGGGCTGAATTGATCAGAAATGGCGTGGGAAGAAAAGGCTGGAGAAGCGGGTAGACAGACACTTTCCCTACTTTACACCTTTGCCTGGAGCTTTTCCTGTCTGCTTCTCCTGGGAAAGGTAAGTTTCAAGTGCCTTTGCTGGCCTCATCTTCCCTCCCCTGAGAAATGGGCTGCCACGACAGTGCAGGCTAACATAAGGTTTCCATGGTCATCAGCGGGGGGGCTGGTAAAAGCACCTGTGTGTGGTAGCCAAGGTGGTGCTGGGAATCCAGGGTCCCAGCTCCACTCCTTAAGCAGAGAAGCACAGGGGGCTAGGGTAAGAGGTAGGGACAGCAGGTCCCAATTCTACCAGGAAGCATAGGAAGCTGAGCGCTCTCTCTCTCTCTAAGGACAGTTAGCCAAGAGAGCTGGCCCACCTGGGAGCCTAAGCGTGAGGTTAATGAGTGATTTGGAAAAACAAGTTCTGGAAGAGCTGCTAAGGGGCTGAGCACAGGGAGCAGAGAGGGAGGAAGGGTGGTGTGGCTGGGCCACTCTCACCCCCAGGGACAAGGCGCCCGCTTCCACCCTCAGCGGCCGCTGTCATGGGCTCCTTCTCTAGCAAGCAAAGGCATCCTTAAAGCCCAGGATCTATTTCCCTTAAGAGTACGGTCTCTAGTTGCATCCATTTACCTTTTTATTGTCTTCTTTCTGCCTTTAAAATAAAAGCCCAGGATACACATCCCCCCACCACAGGTTAGGGAACAACCCTCATTAATGCTGTCTTCCCTCGCTTCTGCTTTTTTCCCCCTGAACAAAACGGTCCCATGAGCGACCCCAAGGTTACAAGTTCTGCTTCAAGGCCCAAATGATTCCTTTCTCTCCTAAATTCTTCCCCAAGCTGAATTATTTCCTACGTGGTAGACCTGCTTGAAAGTAGGGCTTTTTACCAGGCAGGGGTGGGGTTGATGGGTCAGACCCATTATCAGGTGCCTCCACCAACCCACCACCCTGACTGTCCTGGTAGAAATGTCAGGTCACGTAACTTCTGCGTTCACTCTGACCCTCTCTCTCAGACTTTTCATGCACTTCTTAGCCTCTCCTAGCCTCCTTAGGATCTTCATTTATAAAACGGAAAACTAAGAGCTTCCTGTGTACCAGACACTGTGCTGGAAATAGCAGGAAAAAACAAAACAGTCCTAATCGTTGGATCTTATATTCTAGTGGAGGGCACAAATAAGCAAGTAAAATACTTAAGTGGTATGGGGAAAAAAAGGAGAGAAAAGGCATGAAGGTGAGGGACTATTCCAAATAGGATGGTCAGGTTAGACCACAATGACAAGGTGACATCTGAATACAGACTTGACAGAATGAGGGAGAAAGTCACAGGAAGTCAGAATTCCAGAGGCAATGGGAAGAGGCAGTGCAAAGGCCCTGAGGCTACAATACACTCGGTATGTCAGAGCGGATGAGCGTAGAATGTACTTTCTATGTTTGTTTTGAGGATTAAAAGAAGCAACACTGTGAAACTCAGAGCCTGGAGTGTCTCAGGAGTCTGGCACAGGCTAGGCAAGGGCAGAGGTGACAGACACAAATCACTGAGAACTGAACACAGTCATTCAGGGCAGGGGAGGAGAGCCCCAGGAAGGAGGGCCAGGGAGACAGATGGACAGATAAACATAAGGAGATGCATGCCCAAAACCTATATTAAGGATGAAGTGTAGGAGAAGGAAAAATTGAGAACACAGCCAAAGACGCTTGCAGAAGATCTGTGGGGTTGGGTGAGGGGCTGAGCTTCCAGGAAAGTGAGATCCTAGCGCCTGGCAGCGCTGGAAAGGTAGCAGAGCACCTGACAGTAAGAGGCAAGAAAGGAGACAGTCTGCGATGGAGGTAGCCCTGAGCTATCTCTGGGCTCCCATCCCCTCAGACCTGCCCCAGGAGCAAGCCCAGCCCTGGCTCCTCTTGGCCTGGACCAGGACCGTCTAGCTCAAGTGCCTAGAGTTAGCGTCTACGTCTGCCCTCTGCCAGGTCGCTCTGGGTTTTCTTGGGGCCATGAGCTGCCCAGAAGCCTCCCAGTGAGTGGAAAGAACTCCTGGTTACCACCAGTCCAGGTCCTATGTGGTCCTACCTCTGCTAGGACCGGTCTCTCGGCCTGGAAGTTCCTCCCTTTCTGGACCACTGCATTGTTTTGCACGACACACACTGCACGTTTATTTCTTTATAACCTGCCTCCTTCTAAAAATGACTGAAGGGAGCAAAATCGCTAGCCTACAAGGCCCACCCAGCTCAACTCCTATCCCCCCGCCAAACCTCTCCCATCCCTTGTAAGACAGGACGTAACACTCCCTCTTCCTGCCTCCTATTGAACGTGTATGTTTCTGCGACTACTGTGACACCTCTCATGGTCTAGTATTATTGTTATTTCTTGTCACCTAATTTTCCTGTCCACCTGACCCGGCTCTCCTCAGGAGCAGAAGACTCATTTTTACCTTTCTCACTCATTTTTATATTTCTAGAACCCAGCACACTGTCTGTCACGTAGTGCTTGGTAAATGTTTTCTGAATGACTAGGCCCAAGTGACTGCTGCCCCGCTCCCCAGGGTTCTGGGGAGCCTGTCAGGAGGAGGGATCTCAGCCCCTCTGACTGCGGCCAGACGTGACAAAGGTACGTCTAGGAATACCTTCAAGCCCTGGGGCCCTAGAACCTCTGTTGCTCTCTGGGGTACGCTGAGCCTATCTCTTGGTGGGGCCTCCTTCCAGGGGCTGGGTGACCACTCCTGGGTCTGACGAACACCCTACTGGGGGGCTGGGCCAGGGCCAGGGCACACTGTGCCCAGGAATGAGGACAGCAAGAGTGCTCTGGGGCTCAGCACCCAGGATGGCACTGTCCTTGTGCACATGAAGGACCCAGGGGGTTCCCTCTGTCAAGGACCAGCTGCCTGACTCTGCTCCTGCCTGTTCTTTCCTCCACCCTCCAAAATAGCCCAGGTTTATTTTACCCCCTCCCCCCACTCCACACACCAATCCAAACGGTGACAAACAGAAACACCTCATCATCCAGAGACAAGATGTTCAGAGGCAAATGTTGGTTTGTTCAGAAGAGAAAGAATACACAAAACAAAGCCAGAAGATTGGGATGCTACTTGAGGCAGGGTCCAGAGTGAGGCTGCAGCCTTTGGCCTGTTCCTCGGAAAAGAGGAGGAAGGGCTGCGTGGGGAGGGCTGGCATTGTCTTCCTGGGTGCAGGTTCTTGTCACCCTAGCTCAGAGGGCACAAAATCAGTGACTGCTGGCCCTCATTCCAAAGCCTGTTGTGATTGCCAAGTAGTGGGTCCCTAGCTGATGCCAGAGAAGCCAAGGGATCTTCAGAAGGAGGTGAGGGGAACAAACCTCTGAGTCTCTTTGCTAGAAGGCTTTAGTTTTAGTCCTCTGCCTGGTCCAGGGGAAGCCTAGTAATTATGCCTAACTAAGCCTCACCTCTTTTTTCTCATGAAAATCACATAGTGAACAAAGATAGGATCAAAATCTAGCAATTCTAGGAATGAGGAAAGGCCAAGACAAGAGCAGAGGAGGAAGACCACCAGTAAGGGCCACCTGAGCCCTCCAGAAGCCAGAGGCCCTTTCTGGGTAGGAGCACAGACATGGACTCCCTAGACATGGGTTTGGGTCCTAGTTCTACCATCAGCTGTGCCACCCTGGCAAGCCTCCTTGGGCCTCAGTTTCCTTGTCTGTAAAATGAAGTTAATAATCTCTGCCACACCTAGGCCAGAGGAGACAGTGGAAGAAAACACAGGCCAAGGACCTGCCGCACAGCCTGATGAAGGTGAAAACCCAGTTCCAGGTGCCTCCCTGGGGCAGCACAGAGCGTGTAGGTCGCCTCAACTCAGAAGGGAAACGCTGCAGGAAAAACCCATGCAGAAGTTGTCTCAGTGCAGGGAGAAGCACCGTAATCTTTAACAGGGCTGACAACCCAGCTAACGCCAGCTGGGCTTCTGAAACCTCTGGAGACTGGGTTGACCTCGTGTCATTATCGGGCCTCAGTCTGCTCTTAGAAGAGTAGGAAGAAAGGATTATATAGCTGGGTGCTTCCAAAGTTCCACTGGTTCCCCCCTCAGGCTGTGAAACCACCTTTCACAGTCTTGGGAAGCCCAAACTCTGACCAGGGGAGCAGGCAGGTGGGGACAGGGCCAGCCTGCCCATCATACCTATCCCCAGAGCAGGCCACACACGCAGAACCACAGTAGCAGCCAGCCACAGGACAAGGACCAGGAGTGTACGTACCCAGCTGGGGGTATGACCAGGAAGAGATCTGCGGGCCAGGTCAGTAGCTAGGCAACAGGCTTTCCTCATCAGCTCAGTTCGCTTTCTGTTTGTGTCTGTTTTGCCCTTGTCATAACACACTACTCAGATGACTGGGCTGCTGTGTGCAGACACCCTGGGGCAGAGCACTGATCCTCTGCCCTCATGTGTCCTTCTAGGTTCCTGAAGTGCTGCACCCCCTTCCAGGTGGTCATGGCTGTGAGGAAAAGCATGCATGCACACATACCCAAGGGGCAAAGAGCTCTGGCGGGAGAGTGCAGCCCCAGAACCCCGTGCACGGCACCATGCCCTCAGGCCCGGAGGAGCAACACGGCAGGTCCCTTCTGATGTCCTCATCTGCTCCTAGGTTTTCTGATGTCATCCACAGGAGGTAGAGAACCTCAACATCCTCCAGGCCAGAGCGAGAAAACTCACTACCTCTCCATCCTGAAAACAGCCTCTAGCAGTGACTAGAGTCTATTGTAATCACAGGAGCAAGGGCTAGGAAGTCAGGAGCTCTGGCTTCGATTCAAAGCCCAGCCACTACCCTAACACGTAGTAATCTCAGGCCAGCTGTTTGGTTGCCTGCAGCCTCAGTCTGTTAAGTGGGAGTAACAGCCTTGTTTCAAGTTCACTGGGAGGATTAGAGACTAAAGTATTCATAGCAAAGTACTTGTACAGGGTACTTAATGAATAGCAGGTATTAATTTTTAAGAACTGTGTATTCCCACCAGCGTGTCAGGAAGCAGCTGAGGGCTGCATTGTCTGTTACTTAGATGTAGGCAGGTCATTTGGCACGTGTGCCGGCCAGAGCTGCAGACCGCTGCTCATATTGGTACTGACAACTTGAAGGCTGGACGCTACGGGTGGCGTGCTGGCTCTGTTTTTCGTTAAGTGTCTCTGGCAAGATATGTAGTGTGTCTGACCCCTGCTTTCTTCATTGCTTAAATGAGAGGATTAACCTTGCCTTCTCCCAAACTTCAGACCTCGGCTGAAAAGTCCAGACTGAAGGGATTCCTATCCTAAGGCCAAAGAATCTTGGGTCCCTAGAGGACACCAAGGAGGCAAAAAGCTTAATTAAAGAAGCCCTGACTGGGCTATTCTATGGTGAGTTGATGGTAGTCAGTGGTGGCAAACCTATGGCACACGTATTATTTGCTTTTCTTTTAAGACAAAAGATGCTAGTGTATGAGTTGCTTTTTCTGAACGAAAACCTCAATATTCAGGCTTAATTGCAGAATTGACACTTTTCGGTAAGTAAGTGGGTTTTGGATTGAAGTTCAGCCACTTATCTCTAAAAGGTTCGCCATCACTGGTACTACAGACCCTTGCAATCCCAGAAGGAAGAAGCTGAGCAGGTGAAAAGTCCCTGGAGACCCTAGAATGCTCATAAATAGGACCTGTCTCCCTTAACCATCTCCTCTCATCCCTCCTCCTTGGTTTGTCCCCTTTTCACTGCTCTGTCAAACTAAATCTGCCTCCCTCTTGCCCCCACTTTTGAAAGAATCTGTCTTCTTTAGTGCAAACAGCCAAGAGCCAACACTAGCAGGTTAGCGAACTACATGAGAAACCTGGAACTCACGGCACACCCAGATCATGGGTGTTACCATGCTTGCACCTTCTGAGCTGGCTTCAGGGTTGCAAAGAATGAAACCAAAGCAGCTGGGATGGGGAGGGAACTGAAAAACACCTTTGCCTTCTAGTGGCTGCCTGCAGCCCCAGCCCAGCATGCCATGGTCCCTGAGACCTCTGCCTCTGTCTTCCAGACAGGAGATGGATCTGCCCAGGTCTGGCATTTATGCCAGCCTAGCCCTTCCCTGTAGGCCCATTCCAAACCTCTGTCCTCCCTGGGTGGGGAAATGGAACTTTTCCTTCCACAGCTGGCATGATGCCCAAGGAGTGCTGGGGGCAGGGCAGAGCCCCCAGTCTCACCAGCATGACAGTTTGGGATGCCAGAGATACTGACCAGCATCTAGAGCAGGAAGCAGTCCTCAGACCCAACAAATCATTCTGCTCTTGCCTCTCTCCCAGACAGACCCCAGACAGACTTTCGGCTGTGCTCAGGAGATCAGAAACAGCTCTTGGGACTTTCTTTTTTTAAAGAATTGAAAGCCTTCCTTCCTGCAGGGTATACCTGCCTAAGCATAAATGGGCAAGTACCTTCCTGACCACCTCCTCCCACCTATAGGGGTTCAGAGAAACTGAAAGAAATTCAGGGAAGGGTAGTCTGGAGGGACCAAGCCTCGCCTAAATCAACCTGTCCCCACCCCTCACCCCATGTGGAGCAGCAACCCGAACCACAGCTTTCTGGGAAGCCACTTTGTGCTGCAGCAGGAAGAAAAGTGGCAACAAATCTGGTTTCAGCACCAGGAAGCCTGTGGCCGGCCACTGGCCATGGAAGCCTAAAGGGCCTAGAACCGCAGACCTTTCCTGTCTCGTTCTCCTCTCACCCCAGCTGAGACCAGGCCATCTCAGGTGTGCCAAAGCCTTGGGACATGACCTTCTCCCTAAAGAAAGCAAGCTCCTCCTCAGCTTGGACCAGAGGCCTGGGTCCAGCTCTGCCCTTCCTGAGCTGAGCATGCCGGAGCCTATCAACCCCTCTCCAAAACACAGGGTTGCAAGCAAAACGAGCTGCAGGCAAGATTTAAATGGGATAGCCTGTCATGGAAGTATTAACATTATGCACCCGGTTTGGTTTCCTGCCTCCGTCCAGTAAAAGGCCAAATTGCAGCTCTCCAGGACTGTGGCCCTGAGGAGTGGGGGTCAGTTGAAGATAGGGCTTGAAAGAGCTGAGCTGAGAGTACCCCACTGGGGGGAGGGGAGGGGATGCGGCAAAAGAGGCAGCTGGGACTGGGTCCAAGTAGTAAGTCAAGTGTGTGCAATCTCCTGATGAGGTGCGTGCAGGGGACACGGTGGGAGTGTGGGCCCGGGAGGGATGGGAAGGAGGCAGGATCAGCCCGCGGTGGTCAGTCGGTCTCATCCGCTCTTCCCTGCTCCCTGCCTTTACCCAATACTGCCGCACACCTCTCAAAAACCCGAGAGGAGGAGACCCGGCTGCTGCCACTCACCCTGGCGGCCCGGGAGGAGTAGGGGTCCTCGAAGAGCGCCCACATGCGGGGCTGCCAGCCGCGGCAGCTCCCAGACCCCGAGCCTGGGCCGGCGCCTCCCTCGTGGGGGCCCAGGCGCTGCAGGGCTAGCTCCCGCTCATCGTCGCCGGCCTCGTCGCTGGGCCCCGCGCCGCCGCTGCCCCCGTCCGGGCTCTCAAAGATGTCGAGGGCCTCCTCGGCGTCGCGGTGCTGTCGGTAGGTCATCCAGCAGCAAGGCTCCACGTCGGTCTCGTCGATGCCCCAAAAGGTGAGCTCCTCCTCGAAGAGCGGCCCGCACACGTCGGCGGGGCAGTGCAGCTTGCCGGTGCGGTAGTAGTTGAGCACGTAGGCGAAGACGCCCGGGTGCCGATCGAAGAAGAACTCGCAACCCCCGCCGCCGCTGCTGCCGCTGCTGCCCGCGCCACCGCCATCAGACTCGGGCCGGCCCCCACTGTCGGGATCGGCCAGCCAGGCGAGGCGGGTGCCAGGGAGGGTGCGCAGGGTGCTGCGGTAGGTCTCATGTCGCGTGCCGCCCACGTTGATAATGATCTTCTCCGACGCCTCGCCCTTGGCCATCTCCTCCTTCAGACATGTTTTGGACGGAGGCTTGTTCCCCGACTTGCGCCCGCGGTAGGAGGAGACACACACCGAGCTGATCATAAGAAGCGCTGCAGGGCTCCGGCTTGGGGCGGCCGCTGCCCTCCAAACACCCTTCCCGAGAAGGCAGCGTCAGACAGGGGAGGGGGAGGAGACGAGGAGGAGGCAGGAGGTGGCGGCGGCCCCCTCTGCGGCGCGGCCCTGCCCCTGCCTCCCCCCCCTCCCGGAGCGCGAAGCCGGAGGAGTTGGGTTTCTCGGGTGCACAGGTGGTTGGGTTCGGGCAGGCAGTGGCGGGGAGCGAGGCCGGAGGGGGAGAGAAGAGCCGGGGACTCAAGCTGGGGACCCGGGGAGGTCGGGGCAAACGCACGCACGCGCTCCCACCAGACTGGACACGGGAACACTCCGGGATGGAGACACGCCCCCCAGCCCCCTAGGAAACGGAGAGGCGCGCAGTCCCGGCGCGGTGAGGGGCCGGCGCGCGCTCACACTCACGCGGGCCGCCCTCCGGCTCCCAGACCGCGCTGACGCGGGAGCGGCCGGTTTCCCCGCGGTGGCGGCGGCAGCGTAGCAGCAACAAGTCCTCCGAGCGGCTGCCAGGACCAGGCCGACGCTCTCACGGCCGCCGGAGCACCAAGGGCTCAGGCTGCGTTCGGTCAACACGAGGCGGCGGCTGCATGTGGCCTCTTCCCCCCCATTCATAAATCCAGCGCCGGGCACGG